GTCCCGTTCCCAGAACACAAATTCCCCGAAACCTCCGTTCCCCGTAAACTCATCCCCCGCCTCGTAATATCGAATCCCACCTTAAGATAGAGGTTTTTTTAGTTGGTTGGCCACAGGTGTATGTGGAGCTGTCTAATATAGTAAAATTAATGCTGATACCCGCTACATATTTAAGATAGAATGGTCGGATAGCCCCCGAACTGTCACACCTTGATAATCTTTAAGTTTGCTATTCTAGATTAAATTTCTCAAGAGGTAAATAAGAGAGAGATTAAATTGTAATTTAAAATTAATTTTATTTAAAAACAAAAATTGTTAAAAATTTGTAGCTTTCCAATGCTTTACAAGTAATGCTAAAGGTGTTGGGAAAAGTACAAGATATAAATACAAAACAACCAAACATTGCCTCAACACGTATTTACCTTTACAAATGTGGGTTGTTAAATAATGAAGAAGGAAAGGAAATGTTGAATGAAGCCAAGAAAGAATTTATTGGGCCCGATTTAATTAAGGCATTCAATTATTTAAATAATTTTTAAAGAAAAATTGCCTCAACAATTATTAAAAATATTTATCAGAAATAGGACTCGGTCGGGCCGGCCCGATAAAAATTACTCGAACGTCGGCCCGACCAACCCTAATCAGAAATATTCCAAACTTCTAATTTTTGTCTAGGAAAAATATTTAATCTCCCGCTAGTTACTTTCTGGAAATTTTCCCGTTAATACGTAGTTATGTTACTGAAAATTTTAAATTTTCGGAGAATATTATAGTTTTAATTTTAAAAAAAATTTAAAAAAGGGAGAGACTAATCTAAAAATTACTTAATTCATCAGATTGAGAATATTGTCAATAAAGATTTGGTGCAACTACGGAATAAACAATGGGCTAATCAAATTGATCAGTTGATTAGTAGAACACCAAACAAAACTTTTATGTTTACCTTTAGTGTTGGTATGTGTTCATTTACCGTATTTTTCCTAATAGTGCGACTCTCTTTATTAGACCGACCCCTTCTAATAAACCGACCCTCTAGAGGGGGATTGAAAAATAAACAGACCGGTCGCACTATTAAGAAAAATACAGTAATTTTTTAGTGCGGCTCTCTCTACTAGACCAACCCCTTCTACTAAACAGACCCCCTAGAGGTCGGTTTATTAGAGAGAGACGACCCCCTAGAGATCAGTTTATTAGAGAGAGGTCAGTTTATTAGAGAGAGATTATTTCTTTTCAAAAGAAAAATATTTTTAGATCATTTCATTGGCAAAAATAATTTATTAGATTTATTGAGAGAACGTGGGTATCAAATAGAAAAAATAATAAAAATTCCAAAAGTTGATCAAAAAATATTAAAACAAATTAAAGAAGATAAAATAAATTCAAATAAAACTGTGGACAATTTAATTGAAGAAAAAAATAAAAATAAGACTTTAAAAAATAATTTAAATCAGACTAAATTGAGTAAAAATAAAACTGAAAATATTAAAAGAAAAAATAAATTAATGGAAACAACAACAAATTTAACAAGCATTAGCTATTTAACTGTATCAAGAAATTACCCAGACACGTCACATTTTAACCGAAGCAAAAAGTTTGTTAATTATTTGATTATTTTTAGAGGAAAAATGAATATACTTAAATTATTTCATTTTTAATACATACCGTAAAACTAGAGTTGATCAAGACGAGACCGATACCGAGACCGATACCGAGATTCTCGGCTTTTTTCCAATATCGGTCTCGGTTTTTTCATTCTCGGTCTCGAAACCGATACCGATATTCTCGGTCCATTTCTCGGCGAGAAACGATACTGACTCAAAGAAACAAAATCCTCAATATTGTCCAAGTTTTCGCCCATAATTTTTTTCGGATATCCGTCCATAACAGAGAAAGCGAATTTTTTTCGAATAAGGTCTTCTAAAATTCAAAAAATTTTTGCCTGCGGCGCTGAAAAAGGAGGAAATTTGGTGACTTAGCCTTTTAAAATTTAATAACTTTTCGTCTGCGGCGCTGAAATGTTAAATTTTCCGAGCCCTCGGTCGTTAGATTTTAAGATTTTGATTACAGAGCCTTCCGATTTTCGGCAACTATTGTTCCCACCAGTGGATTAATGGGATTTAAAATTATCGGAAGCACCAAAATTCTCAAATTTTTGTCTGCGGCGCTGAAAATAGGAAGAATTCTGGCTTCTTGGCCTTCCAAAACTACAAATTTTCGCCTGCGGCGCTGAAAATTGGAAGAAATCTGTTGACTTGCACTTCTAAAATTCTAAAAATTTTTGCTTGCGGCGCTGAAATAATGGTTTGGTTACCCGAAATTTTCACTTCGGCTATCCGCGGATACCCGCTGTTGGATATGCCTCAAAAGTTGTAAGGATATAATCGGATACGGATGTCGACCTCACGGGTAATGATTTGGATGATGAAAATAATGAATAAATTATTTTTACACGTATTTTTTGACATAAAATAAAAAATTTTGTTAGTATCGGTCAGTATCGTTTCTCGGTATCGGTCTCGGCTCAAAATGTTGGTATCGATCTCGGTATCGAGTTCTTGAGTATCGGTCAATCTCGGTCTCGGGTTGGCCGATACCAGTATCGTTTTGATCAACTCTACGTAAAACTCTTATTAACTACCCTAGGTAATTGTTGTTTTGAATTTTTGCTGGAGGGAGTAATTAATCGAGGGAGGGTAATTATACTAGATTTTAAATTTGAACGTGTTTTAAGGCAGGGGGGGGTAATTATTGTTTCAATCTATCGATAGATGGGGTAATTAATAAAAGTGGAGTAATTATTTGTGTTATGCTTGAATATTATATTATGCTTGAAAAATAATTTTCTTGATTGAGTAAAGTTAAAATTAAAAATAAACCAACCAAGAAGGCAACATTTATTAGTTTATTAAATTATTCATTGCCAAATGGCAACTAAGCACATTAAATATCTTCACATTAAATTTTGTGGAGATATTTCAGGTTTTACGAAATTAGGTGCATTTCAACTAGAGCCTGGCTTGATACGAATTTTTTCGATATTTTGTTTCGATATTTATCGAAGACCCCTTCTTTTAATTATCGATACCCCCTCGATACCCCTCCATCCGGGCTCTAATTTTAGCCGAACTACAAGGTTGATCCGAATAGTTTTCTGGACTAATCTGGAATTATAAAAGAGTACTCCCAAGTCTATTTGGCGTAATTAAAAACACTAAAAGCAAGATAAAATTTAAAAAAATATTCAATTTAAGCACTACTTCCTATAATTCCTTCAATTGGAATAATCTCAAAACGAGCAAAACATTTTTTGTGGTAATAGCTTCCGTTGCCGCTAACATTCTCCTGCTAATTATACTTATTCTCTGCAGTAAATTTTATACTTGGAAAAGAAGATCAAATGAATATAGGGTAGAAGAAAAGAAATTTTCATTGAACATTGAAGATGGGGTGGAAATTAAAGAAAATGAAGATTCAGAAAAATTTATTATATTGGGAAAGGATGATGTTAAATATATTGTTAATGGAAATATAAATAAGGAAACTTGAGTGAAATTATTTATAAAAGAATGGAAATATGTAGTGATATATTTAACTAATAGGGTTGTACCCCGTCCCCGAAAGTCGTGGAATTTGAAAGATTTTTTGAAAATTCCCCGTCCCCGCCCCCCCCCCCCGTAAAAAATAAAAAAAATTTTCCCTGTCCCCGCCCTCCACCCCGTCAGGGAACAACCCTACTAACTAAAGTTTTCGGAAATCTAGTTAGACTTAATTAAGCAATTCTGTGTTTACTCTTACAGGGTGACATAAAAGTTAAGGGACACGTTATTTATGCCATAACTTTATTCAGGTTAAAGATGAAGAAATTAGGTATATAAAGCCTATTTGATAGGGAATTAAACAAGGAACAAAGTTAATCAAGAATTTTCTAAGTGTTATCCTTTGCTTGTAAACAGAGTTATCCAACACTATTTATTGTAATTTAAGTGAGGAAACTTACTTATCCGGAAATATAAGAATTATAGAATTATAAGTTATGAAACTAAAATATCCGAAAACTTAAGTTTACTCAGTATAAAAAAAGTGGAAACAATAAAAACTTTTCCTAAGTTTCTGGAATTTGAGCTAGACATATCTAGCATGAATTCGAGACATATACGGACGGATATATGGGATATTTCAATATACAAATAGTCGTCACCTTACTGATTTTGGGACCTACGACAACTTTGTCTTGGATAAATATTGTCCTATTGAAGAGAGTTTTCAAGTTTTAGAACCAACCAGGGTGGCCCCTTCCAAAACACTAAATAGGGCGCAGCCACTCAAAAATAGGGCAAAAATAGGGCGAAATCGGCCAAAAATAGGGCAAAAATTAGGGCATGATTTTAAAAGCTTAAACATAATTAAAATTTCAAATAAGGCGAAAATTTTGAGACTTTCGGAAGACCAAGAAGTCAAATTTCTTCCATTTTTAGCGCCGCAGGCGAAAATTTTGAGGATTTTGGAAGGCCAGGAAGTCAGAAATCCTTCATTTTTACCATTTTTTTTTCAAAATCCTAAGAATTTATAAAATTTTACAAAATGGTAAAAATAGGACAAAAATATGGCAAATGAGAAAATAGGGAAAAAATAGGGCGAAAAGGTTAAAAATAGGGAAAATCTTCTATAAATAGGGTAAAAGGGCCACCCTGGAACCAACGTAAACAAGCAAGAGGTTATTTTTTCACTTCAATCTTGATATGTCCGTCTCGATATGTCCACCTACCTCAGAAACAACAAAAAACTCATTAAACTAAAAAAATTTTTTTGGCCTATCAAAGTGGCAGTCAATCATTTTTAAAATAAATTTATTAATTGTTTAGATAAGGAAACATTTTTTGAAAAAAAATTAAATAATAAATTTATTATTAATATAATTAATTTATTTGCATTGATAAAGAAGGCAAATTTAATTATTTCCAAAAATTAATTAAAATATATTAATCTGTAAAAGTCTAAAAATGGATGAAACGGATTTATTAAATAAATGCCCAAATGAGTGTTTTGAACATTTACTTGAACAAGTAAAACTGAATTGCTCAGATTCACACAGTTCTGCAACTGCAAGCGTTTTGAGAAAAAATGTGGATGGATTGATGAATGAAATGTAATTATAATTAAAAATAATAAAAACTTGAAATTCATTTTAATAATATCTCGGATAATATCTCGCTCGGATCTCGTTTTTTTTAATCCGCCATTTTCAGATAAGAATCCGCATTTTATATAAAAAATTCGCATGACATTTTCAGCGCCTTCGGCACTAAAAAATTCGTATTTGAGTATTTTTAAAGGCCAAAGAGCCCGTTTTCTTTTTTCAACGCCGCTGGAACAAAAACTACAAAAAAAGATACACAAAATCTCCTCATAATCTTCAAAAGTATACAAATCACTAGCTAGAAAATTAATCTTTATCGATATATCAACCTCAAAATGAGGATATATCCCATTACTGAATTAATGTACTACGCTTAAATTTTTAAACTTATGTATCCAAAAACTTAAGTTTAATTGAAGTTAAATTTTCGGAAACAATTTTGGTAATTTAAATTAAGTTTTCAAAGTTTATAATGTAAGGTATATTCGTTGATTGCCTAAGCAAAGGTGATCTTTTGGGCGAGCATTGTGTTAATGGATTTTCCCAACCATTACACCATAATTATTATTTATCTTTATTTCCTGTGTCACCTCCCATTCACATGCTTATGTTTATATATTGTTTATTGTTTCACCGATAAATCAGTTCCCAGTTAGTCAGTCTTTAATATATGTGCCCCAAAGAGGAAGCACACCGGTGTTGCTTGGTATAGGCTTAGCTAGGGTCTGGCCAACCCAATAGCTTTCCTTAGGGATTATAATGAATTGTGTCTAGGTTTATTTAGAATGGTCCCAGCATGATTCCACTTAACTATAAATATTAATTATCAAGTGTAAAAGAAATCAAGTTCGATTTAAAGTTACATGAAAGAAATAATTTCATTAGCAAATTAATTGTGTTGTTTTATTAAAGGCGAACAAATGAATATTTTGGAGCATTACGGTCAGTGCTAGATGATGAAAAACAAAAACATGGTGATATGGAATAATTTTAAACAAACAAAATATTTAAGGGGAAATATGTAAACAATTAGCTACTGCTATGGAATTGTTAATTGTTCAATCACATGGGGCTAAAAATAAATTCAGAGGGGATAACGTGGAAGATTCTGATAAATTAATTCCTTCTGTGGAACAAAAGATGGTTTTAAATAAAATTTAAAAATATTTAAATTTTGAATTAGGCAGAATGCAGAGACTATTGTTTATCGGAAGAATTGACTGATGAAATTGAAGATAAACAATTAAAACTACGAATGAGGGAAGTTATTGAGAATAGCATCAATATAGAAAACGATATAGCTAATGTATATCTTTAAAAATAATTTTCCGGAAAATATAATAAAATTCCTGAATTACCTCGGGTAATTAATATTTCACTCCATGGCTGTTGGGAGGTTGGGGTAAATTAATTGAGGCATGGTAGCTATTTATGAGAAGGTTATTAATACATAAAGTATGTATTACGTAGTAGTGTTTGTCGGAAGTTCCGGTTTCCGGTAGGCCGGAAGTTCCGGGATTTTTTGGTTCCGGTTCCGGTCCTTTAGTTCCCGTTTTGGTCAAATTTGCGGTTCCGGCGAAACACTAATATACATACGTAGGCATTTTCCGATTAGAGGTTAATAGGTTTTCCTGGATTTATACATATTAAATTAAATCAATACTTAAATCAATCCTTCGCGTCCAATGAAAAGTTTATGCATCCAATCAATTGCGATAAGTACCGGTTCTGCACAAAATTCTTCCACAAAATCTGTGGGAATCGAAAGCTCTACTTACCCAGTTTTGGTATACACGCATGATATAGAACCACACGTTCATACACGCTGAAACGAGTACTTATCGTCATAGATTGGACACATAGAATGTGATAAACTTTTCATTCAAATCGTAAAGGTGTGATTGGACGCGTATTATTGCCAAGAGCCAAAATTCTCACAATTTTAAGAATACCATAAATTGTATTCAAATTGGACACCAACTTCTTTTACATCATTCAGAAATTCGGCCAATTACCTCTACAGATCTAAACTTTTTTGAATCGAGTATTCGTATTTCAACACATATTTGGGACGCTGAGGTGCGCGATGCAGTTTGTAGTCAATTGCTTTTATTGAAAGCTTTGGGTATAGGGAAACGGTTGGCTTTTTTGTAATTTTTAAATTTAATTTTCCTTTTATTATTCAGCAAAAAACGTCAAAATTTCTCTGATAAAATCACCAACATTCTTAATAATTATTTTATTAATCATCTCAGTAAGCCTTATCCAGGTATTAAAAATAGTAAATATAAAATGAGTAAAAAATAATTTTTTAAGATGAGCAAACTAAATTAGCCTTAGCTGAACAATGTGGGATTACTTTAGCTCAAGTATATTTTTAATTTGGAAATAACTTTGGAAAAATTATTTTATGAGGGATACAAAGAATTATTGTTTGAATGAGACCAAACTAGAGGGATCGGGGTTTGCCGGGGTAGAGCCCTCGGTGGTCGGGGTTTCGGGGGTCGGGTCGGGGTTTTGCCCGCACGGAGGTGGGAATCGGGGTAGAGTCTTCGAGGTTCGGGTCGGGGTTTTTGACTAAAAATTCGTCGGGGATCGGGTCGCGGCTACCCTAGCCCAAACCGAAGCACAATCGAATGTGCCCCATTCAACTATCCGATGGATCATTTTTATTCATTCAGATTTTATTGATTATCTCAGTAAGCCTATCCAAAATAAGCAAAAACAATAATAATTCATTCAAAAAGAAGTTAAATTTCTAATAATTTAAAGGTGTCTAATTGGTTTGGAAATAAACGAATACGTTATAGAAAAGCTCAAAACAAAGGCAGCTATAGTGGACGATAAATAGACTTTAATAATATTTATTAACTTTTTCATTCACATTGACATTATAAAAGTTTAATTGTGACCTTTTATAACAAAAAAGAAGGCAGCGATAATAACTAAAAGGAATACAGTGTAACAAAAAATAATAGGTCCTGAAATTTAGGTGATTTTTCAACTTCCACAAAAGTTTAACGAAGAAAATTAACACAACTACTCCCACCATAAAAAATAATTATTTAATTAGGGCCCCCATTTTTATCGAGTTTTTTGGGCCTTAATTCGATGCCCGACTCGATTTTTCGGGCCGAATCGGGGTCCCAACCCTTTATTTAATAAATAAATTTTAAAATAGTTATTTACATTTCATTGTAAAGCATTTTTTAAAATCTTACAAAATTTCAAAGAAAAGTACATTGACCTTTTTAAATTTATTTTTATATTTTTGGCCTGTCTATAAAATTAAAAACAATTTTAAATAATTATGAAATAATTATTTCATAATTTTACTTTATAATCTACCGCCATAAATAAAAATTTAAATAAATAAATATTATTTATTTTTAAAATAAAATTTATTAAAGATATGTTAATTAATTTATTATTATTGCTGTTTTTAATAAATAAAGTGTTTTCTACGCCTGGAGATGATTCTAGTAAAAATTATTAAAGATTATCTATAAATTTAATTTATTTTAAGTTTCCACCCAAAATTTATCAGTTAATGAAAAACCTGTTACAATAAAACTTTAGAAAAAACAAATGAAGAAGCTTTTGTAAATATTAGTGGAAGCAAAAGAAAATTAACGGAAACTTCTCAGAATAATTCAATTAACGAAAAGTTTATATTATTTTGTTTCTAATGTGGGCTGAGCCCCAAAAATGCCATTTTCCAGTTCTAAAATAACGACAAAACGTCATTTAAGATCAAAAATTACGCTAACGCCAACCTTTAAAATTGTTTAGATCCCTGTGATAAAATGGACTCGCGATAATTAAGTTTTGGGTTTCTCCGGATTTTAAAATGGAGTATAATATAAAACTTTTATTTTTATAGGAAATTAAAAATAATTGAAATTAATAAAATTCAAAATGAATTTTTTCCAAATGAGAAACAATTTAGAAACCGTTTACCAACGGAAATACAGGAAGACATAATTAAATATTATGAAAATGAAAATAAAAATTTTAAAGATGTATTAGGCAGTTCTGGTAGAAAATTAAATAAATTTAAGGTGAAATAAATATTTTATTTTAAATTTAATTGAATAAAAAATGAGATGATAATTAAAGAAAACATACATATGTCGCAGTTATCCGGCTAAATTGACAAAAATTTAATTTGGATTGCGACACAAAAAAGTAACCGGGCACTTTTCTATCCTTTATAACTTTTTTTGTTCATATCATTTTTAGATAATTCCAAGTTTATTTTGTAGCCCATTTATTTCTCTATCATATAGCAAAATTAAAAATTTTTTGATTAAGGATTAAGAAAGTTATGTAATTTTAGGTACACCATATCAAAATTTTCCCCCTAAAATTTTATTTTCTGTATCTCAGAAAGGAGAAGTCCAAACGGGATGATCTCAACAGAATTTAATTAAGATCATTAGCGAACCGGACAAATCTGAAAGATAAAAATGCCAACTCCTACATGGACGGCTCTGAATATATGTAAATCCGTTTTGGGGGAATGCGATTTTCTCATTTTGGGAGGGTTACGCGCAATCGAATATCTCTTTAGGCGTTCATCTAAAAAATTTTTTGCTTTATAATTTCTATAGATATAAGACTGCTCTATATGCCAAAAAAATTTTGTGTAATTCCTGTAATCTATTCTAATGTTATAGGCAAAATGCCTCAAAAAAAGGTGCGACCTGGAGCAATAATTTTTCGCACTTTCCTTTAACCTTATCTAAAAGTAGAATAGGGAAAATTCTAAAAGATTTTTATATTTTATTCTCCATTTATTTCTCTATAATTTCATCCTTATTTGATCTCGTTATCTTTAATTTGAAAAAAGTTATGCCAAAAATAAAGTGCCCGGTTACTTTTTTGTCACCCTGTATATATCTATCTCTCTCAACAGGCCCGTAGGAGGTAGGGGGTAGGGGTGGCGAAATCCCCCCCCCCCTCCCTCGAAAAAAATCCTGGTTACGGGCCTGTCTCTCAATTCTCATACCTAACTCCGCGTCAAAATGATTCGGACACCTATTTTTTTGAATATATTTTTCGATTTTCTTAACGATTATGGTAAATACTATAAGAAAGATATAAATAATGACCAAAGATATATGTCTAAACAAAAAATTTAAAAAAATTTGAAGTATAAATTTTTTTATGAGATAATTTCAAAAAAACATGTGCGTCAAAAAGAATCGGACACTTTATTATAATTTTTTTAATGTGCCATAATTGATCCAGAAATTCCACAAAAATTTACATAAACATTTCCATCAAAATCGAGTAGAAATGCAAAAAGAACGAAGTCCATAGATGCCTTCTTCATTGAGATCTCAAACCCTCAAAATCAACGTAAAACGGGGTTACAGTACTTCAAAAAATATTTAACCCCCTTAGGGGTTGTATAAAAAATTTTTTTCAGGACCACCAGAAAGCCCACAAAATTTGCTACAAAAAACACTTGGTCCCGTCTTTGAGAAAAATCGTACCATTGAGGCCACACCGGTTAAATTTAAAAGTAAGAAATAATGACAATTTATGGGGTAATTTGAGTGAAAGCTCCTTTAACCGATGGGGCCTCAATGGTACGATTTTTCTCAAAGACGGGACCAAGTGTTTTTTGTAGCAAATTTTGTGGGCTTTCTGGTGGTCCTGAAAAAAATTTTTTATACAACCCCTAAGGGGGTTAAAATATTTTTTGAAGTACTGTAACCCCGTTTTACGTTGATTTTGAGGGTTTGAGATCTCAATGAAGAAGGCATCTATGGACTTCGTTCTTTTTGCATTTCTACTCGATTTTGGTGGAAATGTTTATATAAATTTTTGTGGAATTTCTGGATCAATTATGGCACATTAAAAAATTTTTAATAAAGTGTCCGAATCTTTTTGACGCAGTTGATTTTCAAAAATTATTTAATAAAAAATTTATACTTCAAAATTTTTTTTAAATTTTTTGTTTATACAAATACCTTTGGTCATTATTTATGTATTTTTATAATAATTACTATAATTGTTTAGAGAAAATCGAAAATATACCCAAAAAACAAGGTGTCCGAATCTTTTTGACGCGGAGTGACATTACTGTGAAAATAATACTTCATAGACGAAAAATTAGTTTAAAACAAAGGTATGGAATTTCTAATACACTGCTCCACAAAATGAAATAGAGTTCCCTGTTTGTTGAATCCCGATTTCAGCCAATCCTGATCCGGGAGTCGGGATCATTATTTCAAAATCCCGATTTTACGTCGGCTGCCCAACTCTCGTTCAAAACATTCACTCGATTATCGAGTTCGATTTAAACCA